GTTGGCGTGACCGCTGTGGTGAAGGTGATGCTCAAGGATGGCACCTACCACGAAGATGTCGGCTACGGTATGGCCGAGCACCCCAAGAAGGGATCAGCAATCGAGAACGCCAAGAAGGTTCTCACCTCAATGCTCTCGCGTCGACGTCGTTGTTGCCAGTAACAAGCTTGAGCTCATTCACTCACCCACAATAACTACCTAGGAGGCTGTATCAGATGCCCGCAAGCGAGCACTGCGATTGTTTGGTAACGCTCTGGGCAACTGTCTGTACGACAAGGAGCATCTCATGAAGCTCAAGAGCGCCAAGAAGGTGCGGTCTCTCTCTCGCACCCTCTTTGGTCTGAACCAGACCGTACACGACTTGACCACCATTACCTTCATTTAGGGAGAAGCCGGCTACCTACCGCCAACTGTATCAAACCCGGCACATGACGCGGAGAAGGCGACGGTGTCCTACGAGCAGCCCGTATCGCTTCCTCCTCCCGCGCAGCCCACCTTCACCCAGCCACCTCCGTCGCTCAAGGCCGGCCCTGTGCCTGTGCCCGGCGGATACAATGCCAACACAGCCAATATCGCGGGTGGGCGACCGCAGCCGGGGTTCCCCCCGCAGGCTGCGAGAGTTCCCGCCGTCGCTGCGACGCCACTGGCCAACGGGCACTCGGCCGACGGTCGTGGCGAGATTGCTCCAACCGATTATACCGATGGTACGAGCGACCACCTAAAGATACTTTGAACAGCTGTCCAAGCTTACTCTCGTTCTCCTTCTTCTACGTGCAGGTTATGACGACGACAGCGCTTTCTTGAGCATTGCCATGAGTGAGTCACAACAGCACGGCGGAACGCAACAGTCATCGCCGCCGGTTGCTACGTCTTCGCCTCAATTTGGCCACGGAATGATGAACGGAGGAGCCAAGCGGAGTGCGCCCGACACCGGCTTCGGCTTCCAGCCACAGCAACAGCACCAACCATACGGCAACGGTGCGTTTACACCTCTTGCCACACAGAAAACGCCTGTCGCCTTGTCTCACCCTCTCAACTCCCAGCAGCGAGACCGTATCAGCCCCCGCAGCAGCACAACTATGGTGGCTCTCCTCCCGACAAGAGACCAAGGCACGACAGCTGAAGTAAAGCTCGCGTGGCCTGCTGCCCAGCGATCCGAACGACGACGTCGCCATACTACCGCCGCGCTACACTCCTCGTCTCTTTTCTACTGCCCTCTCCTCTTCACCTCTCTTCCTCGTTCATGTACATGTCTTTTCCTTCTTCCTGGCTGCGCGCGCAATGAACCGTTCAACGTCGTGTCCGCTACGTGTGCGCGATCGGTGTGCGTGTGTGCGGTGGCAACGGTGTTTTTACTTGCTCTTCTTGGCGGCGGTCTCCAGACGAGAGGCGAGGGCGGAGAGGAGACCAAAGACGACGAAGGTGCCCCCGATCACGGCGCAGCATCGGGTGATGAAGTGCGAGAAGGACTTGGGCACCTCCCGCAACGACGTCGCGTACGGCGAGAAGTCGTACTTCCAGAAAACACCTGGCCATGCGGCATCAAGAGCGTGGGTGAGACACCAACACCACACACGGCACGACACACGCGCGGCTCACTAAGCACGGACACTCCACTCACCTGGTGCCAATTCGCTCCTCGACTCTGTGTGCATCGTGAACGCGAAGCTGTAGGACCTGTTCTCCGGCTGTCAGCAACACGTCGATGGGTTCTCAAACAAAGACATCACACAGCACACGAAAACTGGCACGTACTCGACGACCCGACCATCAGCGTAGTGGTAAGAGGCCGGCACAATCTGCAGGAAGTACGAGTATTGGCTACGCTCACCTGCGGCCAAGGCAGAAGAAGAAGAAGAAGAAGAGGTGGTGAGGACCAGTCCGTCCTGCTCTTCCCCACAGCCAACAAGCAACTTACCCTCGCGCATGGTCTGCACGATCCCGTCGAGCGGCCCAACGTCGGGGAGCACTTTGGGGCCGAAGGACAACTCGCGGATGCGGTGGGTCACGTTGAACGGGAGGCTGTCCTCGGGGTGTGGATGCGGGTGGTCCTCTGTCGGGGTGTGCTTGTTTAAGGACTGAAGACAACTGGGTGGCGCGCAGCGCAGAGGAGGGAGGGGGACACGCTACCATAGATGGAGAACGGATTGAAGCGGCGGGAGCTGATCTGGAACTGGCCACGAATCTTCCTTACGGCCATGTGGCCCGTCAGCAGACATCCTGTTGCCTCCCTCCGATCTGGAGGGGGTGAGCGAGCCTGACCGTGAGCAGCAGCCGATAAGACTGCTCTACGATGAGGCCAGAGAGCGTACTATCAGCTGTAAGTGGCCGCTTGACGAGAGTGCCGCCTGGTCCTGTGGCATCGCCCAGCAAGTGGCCCGTGTAGTCCGCGGCATCCACTCCAAAATCTTCACAACCCAGGTCTGCACAGAGACGGGCTTAGCCTTCAGTAGCCCACCAGCATGGGAAAAAGAAGCGGCGTACTTGGGAACTCGACGGTGAGGCTGACCAGGAGGGAGTCGAACTCATTGCGTATGGTGGTGTCCACGCTCACCTGCGACGTCACCTCGGCCTTCTGGTATTCGGCCACCTCCTGGAGAAAGAGATATCCCAGCAGGAAGAAGCAGAGAATGGACACTGTGCGAGCCCAGTCAGGTGAGCCGAGGAACTCAACTCGTTCGAAAAGAAGGAAATGGAGAGGGCGTGCAGTGGAAGCTTACCTGCTCCGCTGGACACGGTCTTGACGCGTGGCGCCGTGGGGTCGACTTTGGAAAAGATGTCGAACTCTCTCAACCACTTCTCGGCATTCCTTGAGGAGGAGAGTGTTAGAAGCCCAACGGGCTTTAAAGGAGAATTGGTGAGGAGGCTGGACTTACCTCATTCTTCTACGCTTGCCTGCTGGCTTGGTCGCAAGATGTTGGCTCCTTCTTCACCAAGGGGCATAAAGCAGGACAAAAAGAAAAAGAAATCTGAAAAGGAAAACCTACTGGGTCGACGTGGCCCTCGACTGACGTGGCATAGTGAATCAATCTCTGGTGGGTCCCACGTCTCACATCTCTTCTGGCCGCTTAGATGAGCGAGCAATCGATCAATCGCTCGATCGAATCAAATCTTATGCGAGCAAGATTAACTGGAAACATGATCAAAAAAGTGGAGGTGTTGGAGTCGATACGCAGCTTCCCGAGAGGACCCACTCAGGGCTGTGATCCCTCCACCAAGGGGACCGGCGTCTTTTCCCTGCTCTGTCAACCAGCCTGAGGCGGTGCGACGCTCATCATCGACCTTGAAGCCCTCCCCTCCGAGAGGGCCACAATGTCGAGTCTCCTTCTGGAATGGGGCAGCGGCCTTCGGCGTGGGCCTAAACCCTCGCTCGTCTACGCACGCCACCAATCCCTCCACCCACATGCCCCGCAAGCACGGTGACAGCCCGCTGCTTAGGCGGGCCGGCGAACTGTTGAGTGCGGGTGCGGCCACTTTGACCCGCACACACACACACGAATCGAGGCATTATGGGACTTGTAACTCCGTGTATTAACTGTTAGGGTTACATCCAGCAATTGGGGTGTGTATGGCGCCGGTGTTGGTTGAGTTGGCGTGTTGTTGCAAGTGGTGGTGATTGAACCAGAGCGTCGGGGTGAGTGGGCAGGCGCGATGGCCGAGTCACAGGATTTGCAAGAAACTTTTCCATTGGTGAGTCGCACCCGCACTTGAGGTACCTGAACCCATTGATCATCACACACAACCGGCTTCGCGCGCCACCCCATCGCCCATGCAACGCGCTGGCAATATCGAGACAAACATACCCATTTCGTTCTCATGCGCCAGCTTGGGCTTCGTCAGCTACAGCGCCCGCCACGGGCCATTCCGCGAGCCCACGTTCGGAGGTGGGTGGTCTCTTTCAAACGAAACGATGGGCGTTCCCATTGGCCCTCAAACTCAGCCATCGGCCAGAGCTTATTGGCTGGTGACCAACACAAAAAGGAGACGCAGCGGGAGAGTGGACATTCATCAACATAACATCAACAAGAACAACAACAGCAGCACTGCCTTCGACTTCGACGATGAATTCCAAGCTCTTCCTGCTGACTGCCCTGGCGGCTGTGATGATGATCGCAAGTGCGACGGCCCAAGGCGGACCCTGCCCGGGCGGCTTTTGGCCCGATGCCAGCGGCTGCTGCCCCCAGCTCATCAACGGCTTCGGCTACTACCGCGACGTCAAGAACCAGTGCTACCCCAAGAGCATCGGCGGCCACGTCTTCTACGCTGACTCCAACGGGTACCACCTTCATCTCGCATCTTTTCTTACCAGCAGTTGAATGTGGAATCCTCATGATCGATGCTTCTCAGGTGCTACCCGAACGAGCACGGCGTCTACAACCCGGCGGGCCAGTCGTGCCCGAGCGGACAGCAGTGCCACCCCAGCTGTGTGAGGCCCGACGGCTCGTCCTCGACCACGACCAAGCAGCAGACGACCACCCAGCAGCAGACCACAACCCAGCAGCAGACCACCACCAAGCAGCAGACCACGACTCCGCAGGAGACTACCACGACCAAGGAGGTGACCACGACCAAGCAGCAGACCACCACTCCTCGCGAGACCACGACGACCAAGGAGGTGACCACCACCAAGCAGCAGACCACCACTCCGCAGGAGACCACGACGACCAAGGAGGTGACTACGACCAAGCAGCAGACCACCACCCCGCAGGAGACCACCACAACCAAGGAGGTGACCACCACCAAGCAGCAGACCACCACTCCTCAGGAGACCACGACGACCCAGCAGCAGACCACCACTCCTCGCGAGACGACCACCACCAAGCAGGAGACCACCACGACCAAGCAGCAGACCACGACTCCGCAGGAGACCACCACGACCAAGGAGGTGACCACGACCAAGCAGCAGACCACCACTCCTCAGGAAACTACGACGACCAAGCAGCAGACCACGACCCAGCAGGAGACCACAACCACCAAGCAGCAGACCACGACTCCTCAGGAGACCACCACGACCCAGCAGCAGACCACCACTCCTCGCGAGACCACCACGACCAGGCAGGAGACCACGACCACCAAGCAGCAGACCACGACTCCCCAGGAAACCACCACGACCAAGCAGCAGACCACGACCCAGCAGCAGACGACGACTCAACAGCAGACGACGACCAAGCAGCAGTGCCCCGGTGGCCAGAAGCCGGACCGCAATGGGTGCTGCCCGCGTCTGATCAACGGCAAGTGGTACTACCGCGACGGCCGCGGCTGCTATCCGACCCAGACCTCCAAGGGCGTGTTCTACGCCGACGGCAACGGGTGCTACCCCAACGACCACGGCGTCTACCTGAAGGCCGGCCAGAGCTGCCCCCACGAACGCCAGTGCATGCCCGAGTGCGACAACTGATGAGCCGAGCCATTCAGCTGCCGACGGAGCTCAAGTGCCAACCCCCGACGCTACCGCATCTATCTATCTCTTTCAAGTGCAACTTGTTGTTTTCTACATTCCCTTAGCTTTCATTAGCGATTCAATACGATTCATTCTCCAACCATACTTCACTGCACTGAGCCATGAGCGGGGATCTTGTCCCAACGGACGCGTCTCCTTGGCACGAACCAAACAAGGGGAAAAAAAGGTGAGAAAGAAAACGACGGACGCCATTCTTTTCCCTTTCGTTCTTTCCCAGTGGCTGCAACCCCACTTTGTGAGTCAACCTAATTGCACTTTGGTGTTTTAGGAGGAGTCCTAAGCTCACACTTCTTCACATCATACAACAAGAGAGAAAGATCAAGGCCACCGCTTTCATTCTTTTAGGTCCGATCACCCAACTACCGGCAGCTACATAGACATTTATAGATATACATAGACAATGGTTTTCTGTACAAGCTGTGGTATGCCCTCCCTCATCCATCCCCTGTTGAATAAATAACCATTTTATTTTCTTCTTTTTACTCGCGATTTTAAACTAGTGATTAATTATAAAATTAACAAACGACGAAGGTGACGAAGAAGAAGAGGGGTGATAGCATTTGTGGAAGTGGAAGTGGAAGAAGATGAAAAGTGGAACAACGAGGATGAGGAGGAGGATGAAAAGGCAAGGAGGATCAGAGGAGAAGAGGAAGGTGACCTGAATCCATCATCTCCTTCTCTACTCGCGCATCTGCAGGTGCTCAGTTCAACGGCAGGTTCTGCGTCAAGTGCGGAGCCGCCGCCACCGGTTCGACCGTCGGCGGCAGCTTCGAGACCTGCCCCGGCTGCTCCCAGACCAGTACCACCACCTTCTCCTCCCAACGCTGATGATGACGATGGCGTTGATGATGTTGATGATGACATGTGCTGACGTCAGCGTGGTGGTGGTGATGGTGATGGCAGTGCCGGCGAGCGTGGGCGGCGAGCGTGTGGTTTTGGGCGGAAAGACGTGGCACAAGCCGTGCTACGACCAGGCGCACCCGACCAAGGGTCCGTCGGCGGGTCTCGCGGCGCAGACGAGCAAGTGCCCGGGCTGCCAGGGCCACATGGTGGTGGGCCAGGACACGGCGACCAAGACCATCGCACGCGGCCAGGAGTGGCACAAGGACTGCTACGAGAAGGCCTTCCCGGCCAAGGGTCCGTCGGCGGGCCTCGCGGCGCAGACGAGCAAGTGCCCCGGCTGCCAGGGTGAGATGGTGGTGGGCCAGGACACGGCGACCAAGACCATTGCGCGCGGCCAGGAGTGGCACAAGGAGTGCTACGAAATCGCGCACCCGACCAAGGGTCCGTCGGCGGGCCTCGGCGCGCAGACGAGCAAGTGCCCGGGCTGCCAGGGCCACATGGTGGTGGGCCAGGGACACGGCACAGACCATCGCACGCGGCCAGGAGTGGCACAAGGACTGCTATGAGAAGGCACGCGCATCAATGCGTTGACAGACGCACACACCGCACACGCACACGTGGCCTAATGGTATGTGTGGTATGCGCAGGCGTATCCCTCGAAGGGTCCGTCGGCGGGCCTCGGCGCGCAGACGAGCAAGTGCCCGGGCTGCCAGGGCCACATGGTGGTGGGCCAGGACACCGCAATGAAGACCATCGCACGCGGCCAGGAGTGGCACAAGGACTGCTACGAGAAGGCACGCACACGCACAAACCGCATACACACGCGAACATGGCCTAATGGTGTGTGGTATGCGCAGGCGTATCCCTCGAAGGGTCCGTCGGCGGGTCTCGCGGCGCAGGTGTGCCATTGCCCCGGCTGCGGTGTGGGCATGGTGGTGGGCCAGGACTCGGGCACCAAGACCATCGCGCGCGGCCAGGAGTGGCACAAGGAGTGCTACGACAAGGCCTTCCCGGCCAAGGGTCCGTCGGCGGGCCTCGCGGCGCAGACGAGCAAGTGCCCCGGCTGCCAGGGTGAGATGGTGGTGGGCCAGGACACCGCGACCAAGACCATCGCGCGCGGCCAGGAGTGGCACAAGGACTGCTACGAGATCGCGCACCCGACCAAGGGTCCGTCGGCGGGCCTCGGCGCGCAGACGAGCAAGTGCCCCGGCTGCCAGGGACACATGGTGGTGGGCCAGGACACGGCGACCAAGACCATTGCGCGCGGCCAGGAGTGGCACAAGGAGTGCTACGAGATCGCGCACCCGACCAAGGGTCCGTCGGCGGGTCTCGGCGCGCAGACGAGCAAGTGCCCGGGCTGCCAGGGCCACATGGTGGTGGGCCAGGACACCGCGACCAAGACCATCGCACGCGGCCAGGAGTGGCACAAGGACTGCTACGAGAAGGCCTATCCGTCCAAGGGTCCGTCGGCGGGCCTCGCGGCGCAGGTGTGCCATTGCCCCGGCTGCGGTGTGGGCATGGTGGTGGGCCAGGACACCGCGACCAAGACCATCGCGCGCGGCCAGGAGTGGCACAAGGAGTGCTACGAGAAGGTACGCACACGCACACGCACACGCACACGCACACACACACACAACACCGACACCGACTCACAAGATACGATCTTCCGGTTGCAGGCCAACCCGACCAAGGGTCCGTCGGCGGGTCTCGCGGCGCAGACGAGCAAGTGCCCGGGCTGCCAGGGCCACATGGTGGTGGGCCAAGACACGGCGATGAAGACCATCGCGCGCGGCCAGGAGTGGCACAAGGAATGCTACGAGAAGGCCAACCCCACCCGGGGTCCGTCGGCGGGCCTCGCGGCGCAGGTGTCGTCGTGCCCGGGCTGCGGAGTGCAGCTGGTGGCGGGCGTGGACCAGGGCCTCAAGACCATCGTCAAGGGCCAGGACTGGCACACCGAGTGCTACCGCAAGTCCCAGGCCAGCTGCGGCTCGTGCGGTGAGGAGCTCAAGCCCGGCCAGGGCTTCTGCGGCGGCTGCGGCACGCGAGTGGCCGTGTAGCGCTTCCTCATCTCCCCCCTCTGAATACAGTTCCCTATCGTTTTAGGTCCGATGGCCGAAATTTGGCAGGGAAGTGGGGACCGCGTCACCCTCTTGGGCCAATTTCGAGCGTACAATAGCGCGCAACAAGACGATAGCTTCATTCACCACCTCCCGCATCTACAACCACGCCCACACGCAACACACAACCACACGCAACACGAAGAAATGATGCGCTTTGCAACGATTTTGGCTTTGTGCGCAGCCGCACTGTTCTGCTGCCACGCGACCTGGGCGCAGGAGGTGAATGTCACCTCGAGCGTGGTCACGGCGACCGGCCAGGGCTCCGTAACGATCCCCGCTGACATCGCCCGGGTCGAGCTGGGCGTCCAGGCTGACTCCTCCAACGCCAGCCAAGCCCAGGCCGCCGCCGCCAATTCCTCCCAGGCCATTGTCGCCGCTCTCCAGGCGCTCAACGTACTTTATCATCATCATCATCATCATCGCCATCATCATCTTCTTCATTTACACTCTTCTCACCTCTTCTTGATTGCCACAGGTGTCCAAACTGCAGACGAGCAGCATCTCGCTGACGCAGCTCAGCTTCCCGAGCCCTACGCCGTTCCCTCTCTCGGGGAGCTCTGGTTCTGGGGCGCAGCCTCAGACCGTCTTCCGAGCGACCAACATTGTGAGCTTCGAAGTGCCGGCCGACCAAGCGGGCCAGGCCATCGACGCCGCCGTCGCCGCCGGGGCGAACACCATCAACTCGGTCCAGCTCATCCCTTCGGACAACAACGGTGCGGCGCTGAGCCCCGCAACACCTTTTGCCCGGGTCTGGCTGGCCTCATAATTTACCCCCTTCTACTACAACAGTGACGACGGCGCAGCAGGAGGCGACTAGGCTGGCGGTGGCGAACGGCATAGCCAACGCAAGGCTGGTCGTGAGTGAGCTCGGGTGCGAGATCGTAGGCGTGGGCACCATCAACCTCTCGCCCGCCTTCAATCCCCCCTCCTCCTCCATCAGTAAGGGTACCCCCCAACTTGTTTGTTGTTCTCAGCGTACAGCTGACAAGCGCCCTACTCCAGATGCTGCCGCGGCCACGCAGGCAACGACTCCAGTGCTGGCAGGCGAGGTCGACATCACGGCATCGGTCCAGGTGAACCTGCTGCACAGCTGCCCGAGCGCTGCCATCAGCAACATCAACAACGCCACCTTCCCCAACTCGACTGCGACCGCCTAACGGAAGCCCCTCTCTTTTCCTTTTGTTAATGAAAGAGAAAAGAGAAATACAGAAAAACACAAATTTTATCTAATCTAAGACCCAGAATCGATCTGCGTCATCATCAAGGCCTAGAGTACGTCCTCTAGATATCTTCGCTTCTTACGCAGTAGCGCACTGTGTGTCGCGACTCTTGTTCATTGCGTGGAGCTGAATCTTCTTAATTTTGGCATTTCTCAGCCCCATACAAGGAAATGATCGACGACGTGCAACTCGGCGTGCTGGCCAACCTGATGGGCTGCAGCGTGTTCCTCATCATTGTCCTCTTCCACTACGTCACTGCTGGCGCCAAGGAGGAGACCGACTAGTTTTCCCGTACCACCATCACCCCCCTCGATTCTACGCCGGCGCTTCCCATTTCATGTGTTAGACAATGTTAGCGCTCTAGCTAAGCTACCGCTCTCGCATCGTTCAATGTAATTGTGAATCGCACGCCGCTCTCCCTCCAGTCCTTTTCTCTTGCGAGAGCCATCCCTCATCGCTTCAAAGAGTGGCCACGCCGTGAGCAATAACTTTACATTCATCTTTGTGCTGCGAGGCCGTTAGTGTTGGTATGAGCGCCAACAACACTACAACTTGATGGTCTTGAGCGTGGCCAAGGCCGCGGTGAGCGCCGACAGCCTGCTCTCGAGGATCTCCCTCGCTTCGCCCGCGCCCGCGGTCAGCGACCCGTCGCTGTTGCGTCGCCCCAGCAGCGCCCTGTCCACGTCTAACCGTCTCTCCACGCTCTGCGTCAACTTCGAAAGCATTCGCACCTACACAACGTCATTGCAACGACGCACAAAGAAGTGAGTTGGTTCAGCACTCATCATTGATATGAAGAGAGCATTGAAAAGAGAGGGCAACATCGTACGATGGACGCATAGTCGCCTTCGTCAGGTCGGGCCGGCATCAGCCCGATCCGGCTCGTGCCGCCGCTCGGCGGGCTGGTGTTGTTGGCGATGTTGGCGCTGTTGGACAGCTTGGGCGGGGTGGTGGGCGATGGCGGCGGCGGCGGCTTGACCGCGGCCGCGCGCCACTCTTTGGCCGCAGAGGTGGTGGTGGTGGACTGAGCTGCGCTCTCGCCGGCGACGTTGACGGTGCTGCCGGCGCTGCTGGCGCTGCCGGTGTGGTTGTTCTTACCTTTTCGCTCTCTCGGCGTGCGATCCGCTCTCGCTGCTGATGTTGCTGCTGCTGCTGCTGCATCTTGTCATCGGCGCCCTTGATGAGCCGCTCGAACATCTCCATCTTGCCCCAGCTGGCGGTCTTGGCCTTCTTCCGCTGCTCGACGGTCTCGGCCGCGGGCGTGGATCCTCCGACGCGCATCGAGGGACTGTGCGCGATCCTCACACGCCCCACGATGGCGCTGCCGCCTCCGGTCTCGGTCTCCGGTTCGTCGGGGCCGCTGGTGTGGAAGGTGTTGAAGGTGTTGAAGTTGAAATAGCCCGCACTGCGCGGGCTGCCCACTGGGCTGAGCGTCCGCTCGATCTCCGACAAGTGCTGCTGTTGTGCGGTGGTAGTTGGGTCGCAGTCAACATCTGAAGAAAGTACACGCACGACAGAGAAGAAGTTTCAGTATACCCGCGGGCTTGCGCTGCCGATCTCGATTGCCGACGCGCGTTCGTAAGACGACGGGCTGCCTGTTGAGTATCCACATCTTGTCAGAACGCGTTGTGGGTGTGGAGTGGCGCCGTGTGCGTGTGCGTGGTATGGTGCGTGGTGCGTGTGCGGAGGTGCGTGTGCGTGTACCTGGCTGGAATTCGTTGCTTGTTTGAAGGTTGAAGAGGGACAGGGTCAATGGAGGAGGGGTTATGGAATTGGCACCCGACGGTAGCACGCCCCGTGGAGAGAGCACCGGCGGCAGCCGACCTACTGCACTGTCCTTGGCTGCTCGTGTGCGTGAAACATGTAATAAAAGTTGTATCAGTCGAGTGGGCTCACCCCGCAAGTGGAGACCACAGCGCATTGACTACCTTTGTTGATGGCGTCCATCCACCTTTCAAGATCCAGCTGCGAGGCGGACGGGGTCAGGGAAAAATGCAGGACGGGCCTGTCCGGGAAGGCCAGCTCGAACTGGAACTGCCCTTTGGCTACACACGTGAAAGGGAAAGAGTTGGTTGGATGTGCTCCGTCAGCCACAGAATAGAGACTGAGCGTCGTACCGGGTTTGTTGGGCGCCTTGGGAATCGAGGGCGGAGCCCAGAGCGCCGCCAGATTCTGTGAGACGGTGGCCGTGCTGATGTCGATGGTCCCCATTTTCTTGACTGTGTCTCCCGGCTTGTAATAGTGCAGCTCCCATTCCTACAAAACGCGAGAGACCGTGCGCGTGAGCTGCACGTGTGTGTCGTGTGCGTGTGCCGTGTGCGGTGAGTGCCAATGTCGTACCACGAGGAGGAAGTAGAATCGTTTCCACTTATTTCGGAGCTTGAGCGTGTTCTGAGGGTTGCCCTTCAGCAGCATCCAGCCCGCGTGTGTGGACGCAGGGTGCGACACTGGCACCTCGTCATCAGTGAGCGGGGTGTTTCGCTTGGGCGGCAGCTTCGGCGAGGCCGGCGCCTTTCCGGCTTCTTCCGTGATGCTGTTTTTCGATCGGCCTTTCTCCAACTCCACCTTTTCCTTCCGGCGCAGCGCTGCAGCACCGAGCCAGAGTGAGTGTGAGTGGCGAGAGAGCAACAAGAACCACCCGAGACCGCGTTGCGATGCGGAGCGTACAACTGGAGTCTCGAGAGGAGGTCCTGAAGAACGTCTTCTTCTGTTGGGGCAGATGAACCTGTAGATGCACAGTCGAGTGTGTGCGTGCGCGTGTGCGCGTGCGCGTGTGCGTGTGTGTGTGAGAGAACAAAAAACCGGGGGAGGCCTTAGGTTGGGGCTGGTCACCTCTTCCTCCGCCACGGTCTCCACCTCCACCGGCTTGGGGAGGCCCAGCTTGCTCAATAGCTTCTCTAGCGCATCGAGCATGCCCACCTTGTGCTTCCCCTGCCGCGCGACAACAACACATCGTCAGCAAAAGCACAAGTCTATCCGCATGTGGCTGCGAGGAACGATAACGCACCGATTCCGTAGACTGCTCCACCGTTTCCAGCACATGGGCCTTGATGACCCCAAACCGTAAATGGAGTTCGGCGTGCACCCTGGGGGTGAAGAACGATTGATTGTTTTTGTGAGTTGTGCTGTTGCAGATGGCGCGACCAGATTGCACAATTGTACTTGGCGAGCTGGTCCGGCCGGAAGGTGAGTTCCCTCTGGCCCAGATTGCCCATCACGAACTGGTCCTCCAGCCCGGCGATGTCCTGCATGAACAAGAGAAAAAGAAAGCGTTGTTGAGTAAGAACGAGGCAAAGAAGAGAGGCAAAGCCATCACCAGGCGCCATTACCGCGAGGTCGTCGAAGAAGTTGTGCACTTTCGCGATGTTGACCTGCATCAGCTCGTTCATTGGGATCATGTACGGCTCTGATGTTCGAGGGAGAGCTCTGGGTTTGGAAAACAATTCGCTGCTATGATGCGGAGAATCGAGAGACGCATACCCTTCTTGCCGAACTGCACTCCGTTGGCTATCGATTGCAGCACCTTGGAAACGAGTATCAGCGGGCGCCTGTTAGCGCCGGTGAGCGTTGCCGCACCTGAAGGGCGAGACAGTGAGCAATCGATCGAAACCAAATCGAAATTAAAAATTAAAAAAGAATACCGCTGTCCACAAGGCCATAGCTTTCGGGGCTGACGATGGCGGGGCACAGGAAGCGAAGGAAGAAGAACCCGCCGATCGCCGAGTACTTGCTCTCGGGGAACTTGGTGAGCACCTTCGCTCGCAGGTGGGCGCACAAGTAGCGAAATATCCTATGCGTGGAGTGGAGGGTGAGGTTAGCGGGAGAAAGCTACACGTGTGCGTGGGGCTTTGGGGGAACGGAGGGTAGAGTACAGGGGGAGGATGAGCGGCAGAGGCCGTGATGACATCGAGATACAACTGAATAACACTGCTCAGCTTGGAGATGTTTTCTTCCAGCGTCGTGACGGACAGGTTGATCATGTGTGGGTTGATCTGTAGGGAACGACGTCAGCGCTGGCGCACTCAGCCACCCATCATCAGAGAGTGTAGGCACCTCGAGAGTCTCCGCCGAGTAACTGGCGGTCGACCGAATGAGCCCCTTGAGTACTAAGAGAATGTAGTCTTTCCCGATGTCGTGGCTGTACGTTGACACGACGTGCGACGTCAACGTGTTGTCTCGGAAAAATGTTGATGGTTGATCTGCGCACAGCACGCACGCACATCAGGACTTGGTCAGACTGATTTCCACCCACCATCGGCTATTGGTGTAGCGCGTACGTGTTCGCTTTACTTCGATTTCAATGACTGTGTTGATCAGCTGCGGAATGAAGCCGTTCATCTTGAAGAGGTGAACTACCGCTTGCGCGAGCGGTGCGGTGTGAGCGCCGTCGACGACCTCGCACAACCAGGAGAATAGCAGCATATCCTTCGCTAGGAGATACTACATAGCCCCCCCCCCCGCCAACAAAAACAGAAACTGAGTACATTCACACAACGACACGAAACAGGTAAAGCATGAGGGAGGGAGCACCTGTAAGAGTTCCTCTTGAAGCACGACGATGTGGTTGTCATCAACGGCGGCTACTGAGAACATGGAATCAGCGAGGGGAGGAGAGGAGGCCGACGGCAAGGGCTGCTTTTGGAGGTGGCCACGGGGCGAGAGTGCATTGGAGCCCATCAAGCCACCACCCGCGGTCCCCTGAGAGGAGGACAGGGGCGCATGCTCGACGGTCGTGTGCGGGTGAACGGCGAGGATCTTCACCACCTTGGGCCGAAAGGCCCCTATTGAGGACGGAAACAATGACCATCAGCACAGGCGAGCGGCATGTGCGAGTGCGTGTCGGGTGTGGGACCTTTAAGGCTAAAATTCTCTGGGTGATTCTTGGAATGAATGATCTCACCCAGCCACCAGTCCTGTATTCAGTGGAGGAAAAGGTGTGGGTTCAGGGAAGAGCACAAATGCTGACACGTCAGCAGAACACGGTGGTATGCACCTCTGCGGGCGGAATCTTGGACATGACGATGATGTCGTCCGCCTGTACGTGGAGAATGTCGTCCCTTCCGGTGCTTTCCTCTTGTGTCTGACATCTCACAATGCGGCCGAGTCGTCCTGCCGGTCCAGTATCAGCACCCTCCCGTGTGCGTCTGTGTTGTGTGTGTGCGTGTGTGTTGTGCGCGCGTGAGTGCGTGAACGTACCGCCTGGCGGAAGACGGACTTGGCCTGATAGGTAAGATGATGGTATGTAGCCCACACGAGACTTGAACTTGAACATGAGACTCGGGTCCGGCCCGTCGCACGGCCCAGGCCGCGAGAGCACCTTCGTAAGTGGGACGGTCACTAGATCAGCCCACCTCTCACTCAAGAGAGAAGAGCAGGGAGGAGAGTAGAGTAGTGCATGGGAGAGAGCGTACGTCGACAACGTCATCCTTGGTGAGGGTGATATTTTCTTTGTTCTCCGCGTAGGTGAAGTCATTGAGCACCACAGCGTGTACCGCGCGCTACGCAGGAGATTATTATGCCCAGTTCTGAGTGAGTGCTTGTACGGCACACGAGTAGAGGTGGAATGTTTGGGGGGGGGATACCCGCTCCATGCGCTACTTGGGGGGGGAGGCAGAGATCCTAGGCTCGAGTAGCGGTCAAGAGGCCGGCCCGAGAGGAAGTAGAGGCAGATACAGGGGCGTAGGCTTGGGGGGGGGCGTGCAGTGAGGCCGGGGCTTCAATCGTCAGCTAGCAACTACCACCGCACCGTGTAGCCGCAACCAACTTGTCTCTGTTCAAGGCCTTGTCGAGATAGTTTGTCGACACTGGCCCACTTTCGCTTTTCGCGTCATACATAACCTAAACGGAAAGGGCGCAGCTTATGGCCATGAAAGGAAGGTGGCCACCTGACGCGGACCTTACTCGCGGTGTAGCTCGTGGTGCGTGACGTGGAGGCGCTCACCTAAGGTTTGAGAAGAAGCCGACGACAACGATGATGAGGCACATCATCGCGTGCGCACGGGAACATGGCGATGGCTTGGTGGAGGGGTCAGCAAACTCGTTTTAGTTGCGGCTGAGCAATAATAAATAACAAAAATGGGGGGTTGTTTCGTAAAGCACGGGCGGGGTGCACTCTTGTTGTTCTGTTCTGGCTAGGCCGTGGTGTCGCTTTCGCTGGGCGGGCTGATGAAAATCTGCACGCGCGCGCGGTGAGTGGCACTTGGTGAGTGGCGAGACACGCGTGTCGCATGAGGTGCGTACCTGGTAGGTGAGGGCTTTGCTCTTCATGTACGAGTAGGTGTTGTCCCATTGCAGGATGTAGGTGCCGGCCCTCTTGGCGACAAGGTGACCCTGCACCGTGCTCTCGTGGGCATTGAATCGTTCCGATCCCACGACCGTCTCGCGGTTCTGTTTACATGCCGCAATGAATTTGTGTGGTGTGGATAAGAAGCAACACCAACAGATTGCAACGGGTGTACTGCACCTTGGCTTCTCCATCAGGGGAGTAAAAGACACCAAAGCCGATGTCGTGGCTCTTGGTGCTGAACTCCCAGGAGAGCGTGCTTCCTTCCCTATCAATGTTCAGCTTGGCCTCAAACGTATCTGTACTCAAACCGTAGCGCAGGCTGTGAGGAGAACTCAACTCGCATTGGCTGTGGCTGGGGGAAGCACGAGAGGCGAGAGGTGGCGCACCCTTCCGGCCGACGGTGGCTTGCAGGGGATTGTACGACGTCCCGTCGTCCTTCTGATCGCAAAACTTGCCGCCACCCGGCACGCAGCCTCCCTCGCAGGTGCTCTTGCCGCCGTACTCCTCCGGCAGGTTCTCCTCGTCAATGACCTGCACGTTGGATTGACGTCGGGAGAAGGCACACCAAGGGTTGGCATCACCAACACGATATTGTCATCATCAATGTTCGCAGCAGTTGTGTTGTCATTTGAATACCTCAAGCAAAGCGTCCTTGTAATCTCCGCCCATGATCTTGACCTTGTTGCGCGTCCTAGAGGGGAAGCGTGAGTCAGCACAGTGGAGACTGCACTGGGAAGAGGGGGGGGGCGTGTGGCGGGCGTGCCTGGCATCAAGAAGTGGTTTGATCATACTCCAACCGACCGACACGAGACTGGGCGCATTAATGACATAGTAGGCCTACGCGCACACCAACGGAATTGGGTTGGTGCTGGGCCGTCGGCGGTGTGGATGCTCATGTATGCCAGAGTTTCAAGCGGGCAAAGGAGATGACGCAGGTCAGGTACGCACCTTCAGCGTGTCGGGGTAGTTGTTTTGGTCCATGGCGATGATCTTCTTGAACAGATCGATGCCGGGCGTGTACATGTGGCTCATCCCCAACCCCGCAAGGTCCTCGACCACGATGTTTGCGTACATCGACTTGCCCGCCTCTTTACTCAGGCGCTGCTTACTGCAGTCGGCACAAACAGAGGTGGGGCGGTTAGTACGCCATGGCTGGATGATGGCCGCATGGCTGAGACAAGGAGGAGCAATTATTGGTACAGGGCTCGGGCTTCCTCTTGCTGGTGGATGTGGAACGAAGTGATGTCTTCAGCGGGAACAGAGCTCACCAAGCCCCTGTTCGCACAATGGTGGTTGTTGAACAAATGTAGAAATAAAGAAGCCGAGAGCGTCAGTGCGAGATGCTGCGTCGCAGTGTGGCTGTACTGCGAAGAAGACGCACTTGACGTCCACGGCACCGATGCGTTCATAGTACACAGGAACTCCGGTCTTGTCGGTTTTGTACATGCGACCTGCGGTGGAGGAGAGAAGGTGATGGTCATCAGCTTGGGCTGCTTAAGTAATACACATCTACGTCTCATCAGGGGCGTACCAGGCCAGTACTTCACGAGAAGAGCAAAGTTCTTGTTGTCTCGCGGAGCTGTCTCGCGGATCGTGTCCACGCCATGTTCCTTTCGCCACTGGAGACTCGCCGTGAACATGTCGTAGGCCTTGTCGAGGTCGCCTCCACGGGCACGCAGGAAGCGCCGGAGTGTGAAGTCGTCGTGCAGCTCGTAGTCGACTTCCCGCCCCTCCGCCAACAGACGGACCTTCATGTCCTCTATTTTCTGGATTAAAACATCAATAATCAAATATTAAGATTTAAAGAAAAAGTAAAGGCTTAAAAAAACCTATACCTTGTCTTCCTCCGCACGGAAGGCTGCCTTCTCCTCTTCGCTGTACTTGCTCATGCTGCCTGGTCTTCTTGCTCGAGCTTCTGGCCTTGTGGTTGCGGTTGATCGACTGGCTGCCTTCCTTGCGTGCTGCAACTCCGAGTTTCCCTCAGAATATTATTTTTGCTGTGTTTTGTTGGCGCTCTGATTGTACACAAATCGTGCAGAGGCGTAAATTCATTTTCAGAGAAGTATTTTTTTGCACCATTTTCTCTGAGGCGAGAAGGGCGCTCATCATCACCCCAACACAATTGGTTTTTGAGAAGCAGAAGATGGACAAGCTGATCACGGCCATACAGACGACCGATGTCAACAGCGAGAAGGACTTGAAGAACCTCAGGTCTACTCTGCAGAAGGCCGAGGAAGTGCTTTTCAAGCACCTGCCCCACTTGGACGAGGCCCTTTCCATCCTTGATCCTAAGATTCACACCCTTGGATGGATGTACATTTTGTACGTATATGCTAATTTGATTAATGGTTATAATGGACATTTCGCTCATGTTGGGAACTTGCAGGGCGGTGAAATCGATCGCAGGTGCCGTTGACCCTGCTCGCTACGTCGCGCAGGTGCGCGCACTCATTCCTGTTGCCAACACCACACAAGTGCGCCTCGCCCCGTCCAAGTGTGCGTGCCCCCCCCCTCCCTCCAATGCCTTTTCGCCTTGGCAATTTGAAAGATGCTTGTGTGCCATTAACATGCCTACTTGAATGTCTGCCAATTGTTGTAAATTCACAGTTGCTCGGGTCTGCCAGAAGTTCGCTGAGATCCATCAAGAGCAGAAGACGCCGCTTGCCGCCATCAAGTTGCTCAAGATTGCCATCACCAAGTTGCGCCCCAACTCGGAGAGCCTCACCCCTCTTCATGCCGACTTCCTTCAGACGTGCCTCCTTGCCAAGGACTACCGCGCCGCCCTTCCTGTCCTGTCCGACGAAGTGCTTGCCCTCGCCAACCCCGAGAGCTACAACCTCAAGGCCAGGGACGTCCTCCGCTTCTTCTACTATGGCGGCATGATCTACACTGGCGTCAAGAACTTTGGCAAGGCGCTCGAGTTCTTCAAGATGGTAAGCGCTACCCACCTGTTATGTTGCCACAACAGTCAGCTTATCGGCCCTCCCTCCCTCCCTCTCGTCTCTCTCAGGGTTTCACTGTGCCCGCTATCGTGCTGAGCGCGGTGATGGCCGAGTGCTACAAGAAGTACGTCCTGGTGTCGCTGCTGCACCAGGGAGCGGTCAAGCCGGCACCCAAGTACACTTCGTCCATCGTGCAGAGGAACCTCAAGGGCCTGTGCCCGCAGTACCAGGACTTTGCCAACGCCTACGCCTCCAACAACACCGACGAACTGCACAAGGTTGCCACCCAGCATGCGGAGGTTTTCACCAAGGTATCTTGCCCCTGTGCATTCATGTACCCCCTGCCGCCAGTTCATTAGCCCTTGCGCTAACGACCCCTCTTTGCGCGATGGACACCAGGACAACAACTTCGGTCTGGTGAAGCAGTGCATCCAGGACCTCTACCGCCGCAACATCAAGCGCCATACGCAGACTTTCTTGACGCTGTCCCTGAGCCAGATCGCCGAGAGCGTGAAGCTCGCGTCGCCCAAGGATGCTGAGAAGGCGATCCTTAGGATGGTAATAAGCGTCTTCGGCCTCTCCCCCTGACTTCCCCCATTGTGCTGACCTTGCCGCCGCTAC